CCTCTCTATTAATCCCCTCCCCTTTATTCTGCTCCTCTCTCAACTAACCCCCTATTCTTTCACTTTCCATCTCTATTAGCCCCCTCTCTTTTTTGCTTGTGGCTCTCTATTAACCCCACCCCTTTAAAACCCCATATCTATTTATAAGCCCCCCCCCCTCCCCCCTCCAATGCCTGAAGTGAATACTGAAAATCCTTTAGTATGCCCTTCTTCTCAAATAAGCCCCCGTTCTCAAATGAACCCCGTCCCTTTCTTATAAGACGTTGCTTATAGTAGGATAAAATTTCTTAATTAAACCTTTTTCTCTCTCTATTACAATCCTCCCCCTCATCACAAAAGAGAAATAAATATGTATAATTGATCAGATTTATAAACTTGCCTGGAATTTTACATTTGCAGCTCCTTGGTTAAACCTATATGCCCCTCTTAAGGCCCAAACAGACCGGACGCGATTCGGCAACGCGATGCGAATGCTCAGTTTTCAAAAACAAATAAAACCGTCAACGGATAAAAATTTTACAAGATATGCAGACCAAATAGCTAAAATTGCTTAAGTGGTCCCGAATATTTGAAAAACACTGAAAAATATTAAAGTTAAATGTCATTGAAAATTGAAAATTCGCGTCGCGTTGCCAAATCGCGTCCGGTCTGTATGGGCCTTAATTAAACTGTCACTTCAATAACTGTGATTTGTGAATGATCAAACAGGCGGGAATGACTCTAGTGTAAATGATGCGTAATTGTATAATGAATAGATGTCTTTTTGACTATTTTAACTGGTATAAAGTTAGTAAACTTTTCCAAACTTTTTCTAATTTTTACAACTTCATATAGACTAGTTTAATAAATAGTTAGGGAACTTAATAAAGCGAGTTACTCTAGCTAACTAGTATCGTAACAAGCAGTAATAGTTTTAAGTATATCTGTAAATAAGTTTCATAGTAATATCTTGTCATCTTCTGTAAAGTTACACAACTGTTGTAGCTATTGATAATAATGACTTATAATAATAACGAATAATGAATACAATTGCGCAGCATAACCTTTCCAATAAGCCCTTCAAATATGCCTAAAATAAGGATAAAGCGTTGGGCTTTAATGGTTTGAATATTTAAAGATATTAGATGCGAAACCAGGACTCATAATGGTTTGAATATTTCCGTTCTAAATAGCGATGATCAAGGTGGCAAGATCACGACAGAAGAGCTCCCACACTCGGGGAACACACAATCTTTCAAATCACAATTTGAATCGGAACCCACAGTTGAAGAACGGCGCACAGAACGTCGGCGAGAGAGACAACGTCGTCGCAAGCTGACGGAGGAGGAAGATGGACCAAGCGAAGGTGCTGCTAAGTCAACTGTCAACAAATTTGAGAAAGGTGAACTTGACGATATGCATTTTCAAAAGACGGACACCAGTCATGATTCGATGGCTCAATCTGGCACGGTTATGTCTACTACTGAAAAGTTTAGATCTGGTAAAATTTCAATATTCATTAATTAAAGCAGTAATCGTCTGAAATGTTTATTCAACAGATACAGTCATTATACAGGTTGAAGCTACACTTCAACACGATTCTCAAAGTCTTTATGAGCTCTTCTGTGCTGTTGTGACTATTTTGTGTTGTTAGTAGCTTGTCTGCTTTGTTAAAAGACTATTGTACGCTCTTGAAAGCTTTTGTGAGCTATTTGCCGTTATTAGCAACTGTACTCCGTTGTAAGTTGCGCTGTTACAAGCTATCTTCTATTGGTTGTTGAACAGGTATTAATGTAGATATTCTACGTTGTTGTAATATGTCATTCGATTAAATGTTGCACGCCATGTTAAAAACTCCTAGGCTACTCAAAAAGTTGCAAGCTCTTGTAATATGTTCTGTGCTGTTATGATGTATATGTTGTCTATTGTTATAAGATGTTCTACCCTGTTATAAGATGTTCTGC